TCCACATCTGCATGTCTATTGTGGAGCACTGTTTACATGTAACAGAAGTCCTCCAAAGTGGCCAGGTTATAACCATAAGGTCTATTTGCTTTGATTTGACAAGTCGTCAATATTTTCTCGTGACGTCACAATGTACAGAAAATGACGTCAAAGTTTTGCGGGAACTTCAATATTTTTCGTACTCGTGGTGATTGTCAGATCAATAACTCTAGATGTTCAAAGAATATCAATTTTTGAAAAAATTTAAATAAATAACATTATTACTATTTAAAGTTCGTACATAGGCTTCAATATATTCTGTGTGTTACATAAACATTATCGCGCATCGGGTAGATCGCGAGCGGTTAACTTGTAAATGTCTACAGGTCAGATGTAGATCTATATATTTGCATATCCATTGCTCTCTCCACTATGAACATGCAGTCATCAATTGCGTTCATAGGACGATAGACGCAACTGCTTCTGCTATGAGTGCAATTGCTCCATCACATTAGTGTAGAACAAATTCTACTACACTTAAATAACGTGCTGAGAAGTATATATATGAAATGTTTCATAAAAGGAATAAAAATAATTTTTTAATAATATTCTTTAAAAAAAAAGAAATTCAGCCTATTTAAAATTGCTGATTTATATCTTTAAAAATTCAATTTTGGTCAGTGTATTTAATGGTAAAATAAAACTTTTTAAAAATTGTAGATAACTGCCATATTTTTATTTTTTCACATCATATATATTTGAACAAAGAAAGATAACTCTTCACATTTGGGTAATAACACTCAGAAAGAGGAAATTTCTTTAACTAGTATATCAAGAATGATTTCAGCTATTAAAAATAAATATGAAAAGCTTAAAAAAAATCATGGAAAAGCATTCTGGAATAATAATCATTATAAAAGCGTCTTCATTTTTCATCATAATGTTAAATTATTGATTTTTGTCGGAGGGTTTCAATAACGTTGATCGATGACGTCACAACTGCATCAAAACAAAAATTAAGAGAATGTGATGACGGCCCTGCTTGTATCCAGATTACTGTTTGAGAGGGGAAAACTTTATAAATTGTTTGTCATTCATTAGAAAAAAGGACAATTGATCAGGTGTAATGATTTTAAAGCTGTATCTTTTTCATTACTGAAGAAAAGAGACCGCGTCCTCATGTAAGTCAGGATTTCCTCTGATATTCTTTAAAAAAAATCAAAGAATGCAAATATAAGTAATAAACAACGATTATTCAGTGAACATGGCATTATGAATAGCAACTGCTCTGCTGGCATATTTTCCATGATGCGCTAGCGCGCATCATGGAATATGCCAGCAGAGCAATTGCTATTCATAACGCCATGTTCACTGAATAACGTTGTTTATTTCTTAAATGTTTACTCAATCTTTTTATGGTTATATTTTGCTCAGACATTGATATTTTTCATTTAGTCTAAATATTAAAAGGTAGTCAGCATGTTCCAGAGAGCGCGCGCGAGAGTGAGAGAGAGGTCCAATATTTCAATAATATGTAGATTATGCTTTTTGAAAATTATTCTTAGTAAATGACCCATTATAGATCCATTCATAAAATCGTGATTTTCAAATATGTCAGCCCAAGTCTGCATGTTGCCTCGTTTTCCATGTGTATTTTTTAGGGTTGGGGATGTCTATAAGCATCCTGTTAAAAAGGCAACATATGTAATATAGGAATACTGTAATATTTAGCCGGCCTTTATATATAAATAATAAATTTATCAATTTATTATCAGAATAATCTCAAAAAGGATGAAATGTCTCTGTTCTGTGTTTGATGTATCAACAATTATGATGTGTTATAAAAAGAGTGGTAAAAAAGTAGTTTCCGACATCGCTCACCATAGGATGTTTTCACAAAAAAAAAGACCGAAAAAGTGACATTTAGAAAATAAATTTGTCCTAGAAGTCTTTTAGGGCAGGCCGTCCCTAAATAAGATTTTGATATTTCGATAGATTGGATGTAAGGAATAATTCAAGATAAAAAAAAATTAGGGGCACCCTGCCCTAGGTTTAAATCACAAACACACACGCTCTCACATACACAAAATAAGGAAACCTGATTTTAATAATATGTTTTTATATAGTTTAGTAAATATTATTTTAAAAAATCGAAAGGGTGGGGTTGTGCGCACACCAGAGGCACCTGCACTGGATCTGCCTCTTATTTAGCGGCGTTCTTGCATTAGAAGTTTGCTAATATGCTGCTCTCGGAAGTATTCGTTCAACGAAGTATAGGTATTGTTCAAAAATACACAAGCGTCGAAAATAGTTGAAAATGTTGAAAAGCAGAAAGATGACAGGGAAAAATGAAACTTCAACCATGTCTAGAGATTGTCAATAAACACGCTGTATAGATTATTGAAAATAAATCCATTTATTATTTCTTCTAAAAACTTTGCAAAGCCGCCGATGATCGTGATAACATTTTGCTAAAACATGAGGATGATTATTTTGAGAAAAAGAATATCTTCACAAGTAAAATATCACGTGGCACCCTCTCTAGAGGTGTCCTTTGTTGGAGAATGTACTGTCTTACATATGAGGAATAAAAAGTATACGCAGTGTTCTCTACGCCTGTGCACCTAAAACTTGGGAGGTAAAAAATATGTATTTATTTATTTTAAGTCGTGTTCAGAGGAATTGTAAGTTTCTGTCATTTAGATTTTTACCATCCCCCCTTTCCTCACCAACGCACACATTAAGTCTTGGTCTATAGATCTATTATTTAATTGTGTGCGGATTATAACTCATTTATTTGTTTATGAAATTTCCACCTTTTTGATTTGTCAATATTAAGAAAATTTAACTGCTAGACTGAAAAATATTTCGTGTATCCTTTATATTTTCCAAAAAGCAGTGTCATTATTTTACCCATGCAGACTGACAATCTTATAGATGCAATGATTCAATGGAATTTCCTTTTTAGTCACGGTCTTTTGTATAGCGTAATAACATGTTAAAATTCTTTATTTGAAATTTAGAAGAAAAAGAACGATCAATTAAATTTTCACTTCGCAGTAGCATTGAGATAGCGTATTATTGTTCCAGATATAGTTTTTTAAATTAATTTTCACATATATGGTAACCAAAGATATATCGTTTTATGCTGAATTCAAGCAAAAAAAAAAAATACATCTTGACCTATTGAGAGCAATGTTTAAATTATAATAATTTTCTAATGAATTCTACAGTCTTATCAAATGACTCTTGTATGGATTACTAGTAAATACCGTATTTTGTTTGAGAAAATATTTTTTTCCAAAAAGACTGAATGGATGTCGCCTGCTAGCTGTTCAGGTTTCCCCCTGGTGTCATAAAAAAGTGAAATGTTAAGCAAACACTCGCTCTGAATCCATAATATATATATACATGTAACTATTAAATAATTATTGATAATTAAAAGAGACAATGAGATAAAAAATAATAATGCGCATGGGCAAATATTAAATATTATGTAACTATTAATTACCGTATTAAAATTAGAAAAGAAAATCATTTTACGTTTACTCTGAAAACGTTTGACGTTGTTGAAAAACATGACGTCATTATGAACTTGTTAAAGTATCTTTGATTAAAATGAAGAAAAAACCTACTTAGAGTAGATGTAGGACCAAAAAAAAAATCATATTTGACAACTTTTAACCTTACTCTATCAAAATCCGTGAAAAACTCAAAATGCATAAAAATTGCTAAAAAGGGCCCTTTTCCCATGGGCGCAATCAATTGTGTGACCAGTACCATTTTTATTTTAACATTTAACATCCCCCGGGTTGCTACGTTCTTGGACTTGGCTTTATATATACAGGTTGATTAAAATATCATATGCATAAAGTTTATGTAATTTATTCATGAATTTATTATTTTAAAACATTATCAATGTCAATAATGAAACGTTACAATGTATCTAGAATCATTTACGTGTACTGCGATAAACACACGGGTGCTGAACGGAAACGCTGTCATTTTCACTTGTACATGTACCTATGCTTGTTTACACCTGACGTTATAATTTCAAATTAAGTTATCCTTTATTAACAAAATATCAAAGTACTATCTGTAATATATTGTAAAATACATTTTTGTGAAATTCTCATCAATTAATAAATATTTACCACTTTATTTATGAGAACTCAAGAAGTGTTAAAATTCACAACCTCATTATGACGTTCCGTAAAATGTACGAAATTCGGCCATATACATATGCTATTTTGAAGACCTCTTACGGAAAATATGAAAGATATATTGAAAAAAGAAAGTTGGTTTGAAAAAATATATAGTCTGTAGATATATCTAGAGGCAAAATTGTCCTATTTTGAAAACAGGCGAATTTGTGTACTTTCTGACTCAAGCTCTTTTACGGGCTTATACAGTCCCATTACAAACCTGAATTAATGGGATTTTTTATGTCAGATGTTCATAACAAAGGAGTTTTCCTCAGTAATACCCGAAGGCGAAAAAAACGTTATTTTCGATGTTGCGCCGCCTAGACAAACCATTGCTTACAAAAACATTATTAATTTTTGAAAAAAATAAAATCTATGATTTGTTGTTTTTTCTATAGATAGAAAAGATGATGATTATTAAATATTTAAAAATTCATTACTATACCTAAAGCGGTTTAAATTTTATTGCGCCAGTCCACGGACTTTTTGATAACACCTCGTATGTATAATAAACACTTATAAAAATCGAACTTTTTTGTAAATAAAGATCAGTAGAGGTATAATAAAACCAAACTGTTTTACAGTGTATCAAATGAAGATATGCTTGTATATATTATTTATTCCTTTGATCATGGTAAAGTAATTTTACCAATGTCCAATTTTAATTTTTTTTAGCGAAACATGCGCATTAATTACATGTAGGTCACTGACATAAATGAGGCCTTCAACTTGTACTCAAATGAAACGGTCGTAGTCTTTGAGATGTAGAGGTGGTCATTAAATCAATACATTAATTTAAGTTATTGATTTTTTCAGACTATTTTCATTTCTGGTTGCAATCCATACAAACATACTGTGATGTCGGAAAAACACACATAATTCTGGAAAGCACGGAGTCAAAAGCTAATTTTCATCCTGTTATTACTGTTGCTTCTCATGCAGATGAAGTGGTAAGAAAACATTACACATCCTACAAAATTATCAAGACAAAAGAAGTTTCCTGATGCTTATTAAGTAGATGTTTAATGATCTAGCATCCTCATATTCAAAAATGTGTCTGTTTACACAATCATGACAATAAGCACATTGCGGCTATGACCGGTTGATAGGGAATACTAACTTCACAGTGACACTTGATCCCACTTGGTTTTCAGAGATCAATGCTTGTTCTTTTCACAATTTCTTTTCTTTATAATCTTTAATTGGACTATGAGGACTGTAGCACTATACAAATGACTAAACTTATCTTTACGAGGGTTGATCCAAAAGTTCGTAGAATTTCTTCATATTTTATTCATTTTTTAAGTGAAATTGGTTGAAAATTACAAATGAGAAAATAGATACTTGTTGGATATTTTAAATAAAAAAACTATTTTTGAAAGTAACTCTATACGCAAGTGAGTTAAGGCTAAGTATGGGATTTCTATGCAAATGAGGTTATAAAAATGCATAAATTGAGTATTTTATATACAGAGAATGTGCAAATTGATTTTCTTATGGATACTTAATACCGACAGTATATTATTGCAAGTGCACATTATGACGTCATATTATGACGTCATAGTTCTTCCCCATTGAAGGAAATAAAACACACCAACAAAACAACGTCAGCGCAAGGGCATATCCTATCTAATTTAAATTAAATAATGTATAATACTAAGGAGAATATTCTTAAAAGTAATAAAATTGCTGCACAAATCCTATGCTCTTCTTCAAACGATAAATATTTTACTAATCGTACACTGGACTGTGCATTTTTCCCTGTTTCAACTTAGTACTGCACAAATAGTAACTTATCAATTGCAGTGTCGACATTTGTGCAGCAATATCTTAAAACCTTGGAATATTCTGCGTCTCTTTATACCCTGTTTCTGCAAAACAAAGTAAGGTATGCCATTGCGCCGAAGCGATTTTGCTGATGTTTCTTGTAAACGTGTGTAGTAAAGGTTGATGACGTCATAGTATGACGTCATAATGTGTATTGGCTATCGCATATCCTGGGTACCAAGAATGAATAAGTAAACAAGTCTTGGCATTTTCTTTGCGGCATGTATAGCAATTACAGGTTGTAACTAGATATTTTTCATAGAAACCTCCATACATAGCCTTAACTCACTTGCGTAGCAGTTGTCTTAGAAACGGTTGTTTGGAAATGCAGGGTAGACATTAACGCGTTTATTGTCATTTTAATTCTTAATACGTGAAATTAGAATAAAACCCTCCTATAAGGTATATAAAACAAAAATTATGTCATTGTTACGATTGCTTGGTCTTTTATAAACCTCTGTGTGAGAGTTTTATTGATTTTATTGGATATTTAGTTTATTAGTTGGAAATTGATTGTTCATCTTCTATTTGTTAGACAACGTCAAATTTCGGTAAAGTCTTAAGTTCTGTGAAAATCACGGAATCACTCTATCTTAAACGCGTATATTATTGACATACTATGCGGAAAAATGCATTTACTTACTGGTTTTCAAGTGGCATAAGAAATTTGAGAAAAATAGAACTTCCTTGGACGTTGATTAAAGGTTTGACCGCCTTTTGTAGGGTCTGTTTTAAATGTCCCCCCCCCCCCTTGACAAATTAAAAACGTTTATGGACTTTGTCCGTTGAAGTACTGTTCTTGACATTGCTACTGAAATCGGAACATCATATGGAAAGATTGGGACTATTTTAAAATATGAGTGAAAAATGAAGAAAGGTTGGTTCGAGCGGATACCAAAGCTTTTCTTCAGAGAAAAAATGGAGAAGGGTAACATTTTGTAGTAATACGTTATCGAATTGGACATTTTGGTGAGATGCTTCTATAACGTGACGTGACATATCAAACTTGACGTAACGTTGAAGTCTTCCCCGGGTTTCACAACAATTAATCTATCTTCAGAAAGCTCTTGTGAACTTATTGGTAATTGGGAAGTGGTGAAAGAAGATGAGCGAACAAGGCGGGCAGAATGCCTATAGTGTCAGAAATTAAGAAATCATATTAAATATGTGAATTGATAATTTAAATTAACTTATAATTATTGAAATTTTTGAAATTATGAGAAAAAAAAACTTTTTTGAGAGTGAAAAAAATTTTGTAAAAAATGTCTTTCATAAAATTATTAGATGGTATTCGTGGGATTCGAACCCTATCAATAAAAATCCGACGTATCAATAGCATACTGCTTTGAGACTAATGCGTTAACCACTATACTACACCGCTCATGTAGATTTAAGGCATTTAAATCATGTTTGTGATATGACCCGCGACTTAATGGACTTGAAGTATTTCTCGGAAAGATACTAATGTTGTGTCATAAAAGTGTACTTTTAAGGTATAGTGGGTCTTCTCTCCATGTTTTTGAAAACCACAAAATGTGTATTTTATTGCACACTTTTAGGATCATCTTTCAAAAAAATGGAGAGAAGACCCACTCATATTGAAAAATTTTGTTTAAGTATGAGAGAATGATCGTTTTTGTTCTTTTAAGTGTGTGTAAGCTTTTTCATAGGCAAATATTTTCAGTCCTTGTAAGATTTTTGTAAATTGTAGAGATTTTACATTAAGTATACTTTAATATTAGATGAAATATGACATAAAATTTGAATATAATTGAGATTAATTTTTCCCTTCTTATCAGTCGCGCTATAGGCATTCTGCTCGCCTTATATGCCCATCTTCTTTTTCAATATTATTGCAATATGACTCTATATTATAAATATGCAAGTTGTTTCCTTTCATCAAATCACGATAAAATTTAAGAAAGAAATTCCAACTTCTGGATCAACCCTGGTATATATAAAATACCTAACATTAAGCAGTTATACATTGTATTTGTACATTTTGCATTCATTATCATAAATGTAATCCTTTTTAGCTCACCTGAGCCGAAGGCTCAAGTGAGCTTTTCTGATCAAAATTTGTCCGTCGTCTGTTGTTGGCGTTGTCGTTGTCGTTGTCGTAAACTTTTCACATTTTCATCTTTTTCTCAAGAACCACTGGGCCAATTTCAACCAAACTTGGCACAAAGTATCCCTGGGTAAAGGGGATTCAAGATTGTTCAAATGAAGGGCCACGCCCTCTTCCAAAGGGGGGGGGATAATTATGAATTAGTGAAAAATTAATAGCACTTTAAAAAAATCTTCTTCTCAAGAACCACTGTGCCAGGAAAGATGAAACTCATGTGGAATCATCCTCAGGTAGTGTTGATTCAAGTTTGTTCAAATCATGACCCCTGGGGCTAGGGTGGGGCCAAAATGGCCGACCAAAGTTTTGCATAGGAATATATAGGAAAAAATCATGACCCCCGGGGCTAGGATTTGGCCAAAATGGCCGACCAAAGTTTTACATAGGAATATATAGGAAAAATCTTTAAAAATCTTCTTCTCAAGAACCTTTGGGCCAGGAAAGATAAAACTAATGTGGAATCATCCTCAGTTAGTGAAGAATCAAGTTTGTTCAAATCATGACCTCTGGGGCTAGTTTTGGGCCGAAAATGGCTGACAAAAGTTGTACATAAGGATATATAGGGAAACCTTTTAAAATCTTCTTTTCAAGTACTTCAAAGCCATGATTAGTGATATATTTCTATTTATATGGAATCATCCTCAGGTAGTGTAGATTGTACATTGTTCAAATCATGACACCCAAGAGGGTTATAATTCAAGCCCCCCCCCCCCAGTAAACTTTCAGTTTTGATCTGATATGTGCTTTTTCCTAGTAGATGTACTCAGGTGAGCGATATGGCCCTTGGGCCTCTTGTATATATTTACAAAAACACAAGTAAATCGCTATGGTCTCAAAATGTACAATAAGCAAGATTACTAGGGTACTTTTACGCTTCTTCAACAACACTTCATCTATCAGTTATAAATTAATCTTGTTAAATACGTCAATGGATCTTTTACAGTCTGTATTATACTTATGTAACCGTTAAGGCACTTAGGCCTCTTGTTTTACTATTTGTGGTGTTACTTTTTATTCTATTATTATTTATATGATTTATAACTTATAAACAGCTGTAAGCTAACATATTGAAAGAACAATCTTTTATTATTTTTAAAACAGAAAGAAGATTTGAAGAAGATGTTTTACGAGGAACTAGAAAACTGTTTATCTGATGAACAATCTTTGAAGTACCTGATATCTCGAAGGAGATATTTCACAGTCGAATGCCCACCAAAGAATTTGTCTACAGAACAACAGTACACAATTGAATGCCTCAGACAATGTATAGTGGAAACTGTAGAAAGGATGCCACAGTGGGGAGAGATTATTCCTCTGAAATGGGCAAATCTTGAGAAAGTTTTGATTGAGATGAAGAAAAATAGAAGAAAGGTTATTTCTGTACAACAAATAAAAGAATTAGAAGACGTGGACTTACCTAGCGATAAAGATCTCGATGATGGCCTTCGGTTTTTACATGAAATTGGTCAAATTGTTTATTTTGCTGACGAGAAAATGAAAAATGTGATAATTGTTGACGTTCAATGGTTTGTTGATGCGTTCAAATACATCATAACTGATGAAAATCATCTAGCTAGAAAAGTGAGCAAAAACACACTGATCAACACGGGACGAATTACTGAATCTGAACTGAGTGAAATCTGGGAATATACTTCTATTCAGCATAAAGATGATATCTTACCATACATGGACAAACTTGGTTTAATGACAGAAATTCCGGATGATCCTAGCGGTCCAACCTATTACATCCCGAGCATGAACAGAACTGAACTTACTGATGACTGTAGAGATGCAATCAACAAAGGGCAAAAAACATCGATTATGGTGTTCCATTTCAAGACGTACTTGCCTCATTTTTTCTTCTTTAGGCTGGTAGTAAACTGCTTTAGGGAATGGAGGGCCCTTGATATGAAGTTCTTTTGTAAGAATGCCGCATTCTACACGGTTGAAGATGCTAGCCATTACATTGCAATTGCTGTTAATAAAACATCAATCCAGTTACAGGTTTTTACTGCACATAAAGATATGAATCTGCAGTCAGAATGCGTCATACAGATTAGAGATACAGTGGAAAGTCTAATTAACGAAATAACGCAAACTTTTCACAAACACATTGAATATGAGTTGGGGTTTTCTTGTACAGATATAAATATTACAGATGAGGATGACGAGTATTTTTTGAAGAAAAGTCAAATTATAGGCGTAAAAACAATTACTGGGAAAGAAAAAAGACCGTGTCCTAAACATGTTCTCAGAAATCCGCATGAAATAAACAAATATAAAATGATGCAATTCTGGTATAAATAAGTTGTTACTTCCTTTTCACATTCGTAGAAAATAAGAAATACAGTGGAGAGTCTAAATTACAGAAATAAAGCAAACTTTTCGCAGACAATCAAAAAACATTACAGATGGGGATAAAGAATTTTTAATCCCGTGAAAGTGATGTCATGAAAGTAGGAACAAATTATATTAAATAGCAAAGGCTTTGTCCAAAGCATACCATGGATAACATGCATCAATTTGACAAACAAGGTAAAATGAGATTCTGGTTTTAAAAAGAAATCATTTTCATTTTTCTTGCTAAATAAAAGAACGTTAAAGTGTATGTCTGATTTGATAAAAATCCTGATTATGTTCAAGGAACATTTTTTTAAATATATTTTTTATGTGTATTAATTTAGAATTATAATTTCAGCTCAGATTTCATTTCATATAAACAAGCTTTACTCATATGTAAGGTGTACGTATCATTTATTTACTCTGATTTGTAAGGATATTGCAGTATTTGACATTCAAATAATGTAAATAATGTAAAGAGTGTTAAAATCATTCACGTTTATTCCGTATAGCTAACTTTCATCAGACAGTATTATAAATTCAACATATGTAATCATTTTCCTTTTACAATGTCTTTCAATATGATTAACAGCAAAGTTAGAAAGTAGATAGGATAGTTCTTTTTTTACTATAAAGTCCAAAAATTTTGAAATGTATACTTAGAACAAAAAAAAATTTTCTTGATTAGATTGTTTAAAGATAAATAGCCAGGTGCATTACATTTTTGATTTGATTGTTCATTATTTTGTCATGATCAAAAAACATACTCTAAATGGTACTAATTGTCAGTAATGTGTGCGTGTTCAATATATCATTTTTCTACCTTGTACATTATTTCTGTAATATAGCAATCGTTGTAGAATTAAAACTTTTATTTTGATTTATTGCAAGCACAAGTCAGCTTCATCCATTAAAGGTCCTAGGACACAAATTGAAGCTGATATTTTCTGAATTTTATGGTATAATGTCATGACCTCATAGTGGACTTTTTACGAGAAGCGCTGACTTGACGAATTACTTTCACACTAGGACAGTGTACGAAAGCTCTTTTACGATATAAAATATTAAGCTCAACATTTATTTCAACGAAAATAACAAGCTATTTTCAAAGCACAAATAAGTTGTCCTTGAGGAAAATAACAACCATCCTACCCTGAAATTCCGGCCTTCACATTTAAGTGGCCCTAACACAATTACTATGACCAGTAGAAAGGTTTTCTTATCTATTATCAATTCTGTACCTCCGTAGACGATACATATTTAAATGTCCAAGTAAACAGTCAACTGTAAAAGTGAATTGCTATAGAAACATGTACAAGATTAGTCATGATAATACCCAGTCAGCATCAATATGTTGGCCCAATGTAATGCCAACAATATTCATTTTGTTGGCCCAACGTTGCATACCAATGTTGGTTCAATGTTTAAGTGCAAAGTGGGCTCATGTTGGGCTAACGTATTGGCTTTACGTTGGCCCAACCTTAGACGCCAATTGCATGGATGTTGGCCCAACCTTGGATATATGTTGGGCCTATGTACTAGACTACAAATATTGAACTTATGTTGGCCCAGTATGTCTTTTACATTGGCCCAATGTGTCTTTTACGTTGGCTTAGAGTTTCTTTTACATTGGCCCAGCGTTCCTCTAGCTTACATCGGTACATTGTTTCTCTGATGTTGGCCCGGTGTTATTTTCACATTTGCTCAGCGTCTTTTTACGTTGGCCCAGAGTTTGTTTTACGTTGACCCAGTGTTCTCAACCAATGACTCATACTTTTAATTTCCAATAATAGGGAGAAATAACAAGAATAAAATAATTTGATACGGTTTACTAAATCATTTACATGAATTAAAAACACAAAATCAAAAATTAAAATTAAAAACTAAATTAAAGTCAAAGGGTAATAATGATAATTCACCAGATACCGAAAAATTCAAAGTCATTTCAAGGCCATTCATCGGTTGGTCTCCTCCTATTCTGCTGCCGTTTTTTGTTTCCTTTCCTCTCCTTCCTACCCCAATCCATATCGCAAGAGTATCGTAACCATGCAGTCCTTTTCAGCATCTTCGGTATCTTTGTCTTTTGTATCTTTGCAACATCCATTCTTTCTCACAGTTACTGTCAAAATAAGATACTGTGATTTTATTTGTTATGTCAAAAAAAAATGTTTTTTAATTACTTAAAACTGCACACTACAGAGATCTATTTTGTAGGGTTATTTTATGTCACTAGAGTGATCTGCCCTTAGAAGTAAGATAGAAAAATATTGTTTCGGTATTTACAGGTAATTACACAATTTATGCTGGATTAAAATATTCTAAACATTATATTACACAAACTTAGATAAACTAATATACAAATTATAATACAAATGTGTCTTTGGTTTACTTAATTTACTAGCAATCATTTTGATGACAAGATATTTGTGAAACATAACGTCAAAAGTATGAAAAAATTGTAATCCTAGTGCAATAAATTAAATGTGACTTTGATGCATTACCCTTGACACATGTCTGATCTTTGACAATTAGACATATTTTTCATGTTTAACTAAATTTGTAAGTTGTCGATCCACACACATACAAACAAACAAACCAAGATCAGTATATCTTCATTATCTTGGGAGAATAAAATAATATTTTAAAGATACGTAAAAAAAAAATACTCACACAGCAGCACATCTTTCAATGAGAAAAAGGAAAATGCTCTCGTCATCCCCCTCTAGCTAGTTCATTTTCTTTGCAACACCGATGTCTATCATGGAACTCATAATTCTCCGTACACTTCGTATTGTCACCTCTAATCGTTCCCAGTTTTCTTACCTAAAAAGTACCATGTGATTTTAATGCTTAATGATATTACCATAGCTCTTCAATAAATACTTCAACTAATTTTATTCGTACTGTAATTACAATGGGTCGGTTTAATGTCATATGATTATTTACAAAATTATTTACAAAATTAAAAATGTATCAGACACAGAAATAAGAATTTATCAATGTATTTGGGAATCACGCATACTTAGACTTTTCCGGTTAGTATGGGAAAGACCCGAGATCGCTGCACAATTTTTTAGGACTTTTTTGTCTGAGACCTTATTGAAAGTACAGAATACTGGTCTAAGGGAACTAATATTATAGTATTTATAGCACCATAATTCAAAGCTTGTAGACAAGGAAATAGATTTACATGATAATGATATCACTTATAAAGATTATACATTATGCACGTGTCTCTATCAACAAGGATCGCCCCCTCCCCACGTTCCCCCATGCATGTGCGAAAATGGAGCTTTACACGTTTTAATGAGTCAATTATTATATATACAGTATATATATTTTACTCATTTCTAATTTAAAGGACAAGGGTTTAGATTTATCCCACATACAAAAATTTAAACCAAAAATCACATAAACATATGTAATATGAAAAGAATATGCATATATGTACAGATCGAATTTGCTACATTGTAGATCAAAATCTGTTCCACCATGTTACTATCATTGATAGAAAATGTCCTTTTAAAATACTCATGCACAAAAAAAAAAAATCAGAAATACTCACAATGCACATTTTGCTTTAACTGCGTCTATCCTAGCTCAAACAAAATTCAGTCCTTTGTCTTTGTTCTCTACATCTTGCGCGCGAAGGAAAGCTGACCTCTATTTAACTCAAAAACTTAATTTATTGCCCTCCTGGGAGTGACATCTTTCAAAGAGCAGAATAGCACGTACAGCTGCAATGGTACATTGGCTTTACACTTAATGTGTCTTCTACAATGTTCTCGACCCACATCCAAGAATTTCTTTTAAAATTTTTAAATTGATACGTTTGTATGTAGTATTACTTTTTGGCTTTCACAAGGGAAACAGTATTTTTTAAATTTGCAATAATAGAAAATCGTGCATATAGCCAAGATATTTTCCCCCCAATATGTTATATAATACGTTAATGATATCCAGTGAAACCCATGAAGATTTATTTAATATCAAAATTACACAACATTATGATATATGTGTGTGCATGATACAGGGAGAGAAAGATAAAATCGTTGGGTATAAGTATTTAACACTAGTTCGATATAAACGTTGGGCCAACGTTGGACCAGCTGTGTTAGCCTTATACCTTGGCATAAAAATATGGAGATATGTACCTGATTAACTAGTGTCTGTTAAGGAAATGTAATTTTTTTTACCATTAGTACCATTAGTACGACAACATTTAATCAATAAATTAATAAACACATATTTACATGATTTATGCAGTACACATTTGACATAGTGGGCCAAAGTTGGTCCAACTAAAAATGTATAGGTACATGTAAAGCACTCAAAGATAAAGCCAGATAACAAAATTAATGTTAATAACTTATTATATAGGATACATTTAATTTATAGCTGTATACTGATTCAGTTACACGTGTGTAGCATTACATACTCATAAATGATAAACCTTTTAGTAAAATTATCCTCCCAGCTGTTGCAGTATATCTTTGACAAAAATTTGCATTTGGCCAATAATGGTCCAACTACACGAGACCAACGATTTTATGCTAAGTTTGAAACATTGTGCCAACGCAAGTGAGTTAAGGCTACATATGGAGGTTTATATGCAAAATATCTAATTAAATTCCATAACTGCTCTACCTACCGCACAGAAAATGTTAAAACTTGTTTTCTAATACATTCTTGGTACCTACGACATGCGATGGCCAGTACACATTATGACGTCATATTATGACGTCATCGACCTCTACTACACAAGTTCATAAGGAGCATCAACAAAATCGCTTCGGCGCAAGGGCATACCTTAGTTTGTTTAACAGAAACAAGGTATAAAAAGATGCAGGATATTCAAAGGATTTAAGATATTGCTGCACAAATGTCGGCACTGCAATTGTTTAGTTACTATTCGTGCAGTTTTAAGTTTAAACAGGGTAAAAATTCACAGTCCAGTGAAAGTTTCCTAAACTTTTTATCGATTGAGAAAGTGCATAGGATTTGTGCAGCAATTTTATTAATTTTAAGAACATTCTCTTTAATATTATACATTGTTTATTTTAAATTAGATAGAATATGCCCTTGTGCCGACGTGATTTTGTTGATGTGATTCATTACCTTGAATGGGAGAGAACAATGACGTCATAATATGACGTCATAATGTGCACTTGCATTAATAAATTGTGGGTACTAAATATGTATAAGGAAATCAATTTGAACTTTCTCTGTACACAAAATATACAATTTATGAATTTTTATCAGCTCATTTGCATAGAAATATCCATATTTAGCCTTAACTCACTTGCGAATGCTGTCTTGCCAACGCTGGCCCAATCGTTGTACACCTGCATATATATGTTCATTATGTTCAGTATTCAATATTGGACCAACGTAAGTCCAACGATACAAAACCAATGTTTAAGATAGTAATTTTTGTGAAAATAACATACATTGGGCTTGGCTCAACAATGTAAAACCAATGTATGTTATCACGACAACTTATATGAGATTAAGATACATTGGGCCAACATTGGCCCAACAACGAATAACTGACATATGCTGATATTGCCGCCAAGAGCATAATGTCTAACATTGGCCCAATGTTGGCCCAATCATGTTATACCAACGCCAACCTTGACCCAACAGACCGTTACTCTACCAACGTTGGGCCAATATATGAATGCTGACTGGGTATATCGAAATTATGAGAAAATATTAACTTCAAAGCTCTGTCCAAGCACCTTTAAAGCTGACTATAAATATTTTATTTAGGTGTGCAAAAATGTAAATGTACATGTATTTTGCACGGTATTATAAATAAATAAAACATTTTTGAATTAATTGTATGCGACAACTTTTCTACAAAAACGATCTCGTATGTACATGTAGTACATTTATATAGAAATGTTCAAAACTAAGGGTACTGCAAGTAAAATATACAAAAGCAACCCCGTTTATATGTGCATGTATGACGCAAAAAATGGTCAAAGTCTGATGCCTATGCGTGATAATGCAGATAAAATAATGTTAATGATGTCAATAAAGGCCGTCGTCAGTGCCACTGCTCGCCTTTAAAATTCCAAAGTCCCCAACACGTGGCACAGTGGTAATAACGTATGCTCCATAGAGTCAAGGCAGAGGAGTTCATCCTAACTTCATCTCTTGGATTCGATTCCCATTGTGCGACGTGTAGAAAAGTCCTTCTTATGACACTGTACACATCGAAGTCCCATGTTGCAGTCTTTGCATGAAAACGATCCCTCACTGGTCAATGGTCACATTTGCCGAGCAAAGGTCAAATTTTTAGCTATCCACAAGCAAGCGGTGGTGTCTCCATATTAGTGAAAAAATCGCGAGAGAGATGTAATCATGCAATATGTTCAATATATGCAATAAAACATGTTAAAATAAGATTTTCTGAGAAAAGAGAGGATGATAATGCATTTTTACCAACTTAGTCTCATTTGGGGACCGTAAAAACTAAATTCTGAGACTATGATTAGACCAAAAGCCCAGTGTATGTGTCTAAGCCCTGGACAAAGAGACCATGAACTTCAGCATGAATCGTCCTTTATTTCTCCATTTTGTATATCATCATAAAACAATTTGAAATCAACATTTTAAAGGTCAAATATCAAGGAAATAGATATACTTGTAAATAATATATGTTGTAAACAATGGTTAAAAAGAAGGAATTACAATATTCGTTTAATTCTAAATCTCGTTGTTTTCTTTATTTACCTGTTCAAATTTTGCTAAAAATAACGTTCATCAATAGAGTTACTTCCCCTTTTTGTGACGTCATTAGAAACACTCGACAAAATCTATTAACATAAGTAAAGTAAAGAGTGCTCTTGATTATCTAAAATTATGGCAATATTTGGGGAACAGAAATGTTGATATAGTTATGCTTAGATCTGTCTGTAAGAATAGGCTTTGTATATTTAAGTCAAGAAAGTACGCAAATTGATTATTCTTCTTCGACCGATTCTGTTTCGTCCGAAGCCGGTAAGGGTGAAAGTGGAAATTAAAATAACACAGCTGAAAAAGGATCATAGCAGAAGCTAACGAATGTACATACATGTAATTTGTATTTAATGCCTTTTACTGCGTGTGCTCAATATTTTCGCAAAAAAATATTTAACTGCGGAAAATTGATTTTATGTGTTGTTTCTTATTCATCAAACATATAGCACCAGGACTTTTACAGTGTGAAAAAGTATAGAATTCTTTTTTTTTACATTGCATAGCCGTTTGAACCGGGTACACGGCGATTTTTGTGAAATCGTCGGATACATATCATCCTTGGGAATCCGAAGATGTAGCTTTCACAGCTTGGACTCCCCGTTCGGTTTTTCCGTGCCCCAGTGAGTTTTTTTTTACTTAAAAAAAAATTTCTATGATATATTCATAATGTTATTACAACCGAAAAATCCAAAATTTAAGGGGAAAGAAGGCTAGTTTAAGCCTTTTATAAATTCATACCCTCTGATACTAAAACAGAACGTTCTGTTTAAGTATCAAAGGGTATGGATTTTTTCCCGTCCCCAAGCACCTGTGGTAACTAAAGATTGTCTGGAACCTTTTTGAGTTTTGCATAACAAGTAATTTTTATTCCCCCCCCCCCCTCCGTCCCTAAATTACATTTTTTTGTTGTCTTTCTCAACGGATATTACTTGCTTCATACAGGCCTGGAAATCTTTGTCACATAGCGCTTTCATTCTAAATATTTATTTGTCATTCAATATGAATTATTTCACCCTAATTTAGTTTAGAAAAAAGAAAACAAAACTATTTTAAGTATACATTCTGATTTCATATGGTCTTGTGGTAACTATGTCAAGACGCCAGCACAAGAGAAAATAAGTGCTGGAGGAAAACAAAACTGCGGGCAGAAAATTGAGGAACAATCATTTGCGTGCATGAACACTTCAGGTTTTATTGTTTGAATAAATATGTAATGGAAACAATTTTAATATAAAGTTTTCTAGAAAAAGGACAACTGGAAGTAAATGAACGCATTCTTGAGTAAGTATTTTCTGAGACAGACATCATGCGCAGATTTAGAGAGGGGGTGGGGGGGGGGGGTTCCAGGACATACCCTCATCCCAACTGAGATTTTTTTTTAGACACGATTACTTGGCAGATAATCAATTCCTTGTCTACTATACCACACCTTCGGTTTTTTGTCAGTCAAGTTTTAGAGATTGTTCCTTCATAATATATGAAAATTACTAGTATTTTTTTTGTTTTACTCCAGCATGTTAGCATCGTCGCAAACCACGGCCAAAATGTACGATCCTTTCCCATTCTGGCAGAGCTATATGCAGACTCCGGACCGTGGCTTGAGACGATGGCATGTTAGAGGTTAACGCCGAACTACATGTACTATTGACTTGGCGCCGCGTAATGTTCAGTCATGTACATGTATATTATACCGAGTTTTTGCTCTAATGTAAAAGGCCAATCTCTAAATTGACAAAAGCGGAAAATATGAAATATCGAAGTATTGGTATGACGGACAAGGAATTCATATATATTTTGCTCAGTTTTATTTTCAGTAGGGGAAAGGGCAAAGTACATGAATCAATCGTCAGGTACTTTGTGATCTTGTTGATTACTGTAACAAGAATAAAAAAAACTTTCCTTCAAAACAGTATTGCGGCTATAAATACCTAAACTGACAATTTGAAAAATGCAATTTAAATTTGAAATAAAACCAGGATATTTGTGAGATATTTTTTAAACTAATTAATGTGTTTCCTAAACTGGTCTATGTAAAATGAAGCTTATATTTATAGTGTTTCGTGTTTATTGGGCTCATAACCATCTCTTTTTAAATTGAATGTCCATATTTCCCTCAATTTCAGGTGCGTAAGAA